ATTAATTCACACTAGAGGATATTTGAGGGGTAAACGTGACAACCCGGCGCACGAATTGTGGGCGGTGCCTTGTCAGTTCTCAGCATTAAGCACATTGTTGCCAAGTCTTCAACATCAACATAATATTTTGTTATAGGGTACAAGATATATAAAGACATGCTGGTTGTTCGAAAAAGTCAAGAATGATCTATAATATCATGGCTCACTCTTATTATGTTTTATCTCTTGTTTTATCCAACGACAGGACTCTAATCTTTGAGATGAACTGATTATAATTGGTGAGTTGACAACGTTGCTTCATGAGTGGAAATGAAAGATTATTTTTGCAGTATTGCAGTATCATTGCAGAGGAAACTGTTGTTTATCTGCCTATCTCGTCTTCATTGAGATAATTGATGAATTGATGAATTACAAAAATATATCGCGTTTCAGTTATGAATGTTAAAACAATTTCCAGACTTTTCATGAATTTATATTCTATGTAGGTCTCACGATTCAAATTTGAAATTGATACTTAGTTTTAGATCTGAGCAGCACATTGTTTGGCCTTCAAGATTCTTAATATAACCCACGTAATTGAACATGTGGAAGATGAATACTGGAAAACCCACTATTCGGAAAAAAAGCGGATATGTAGCAATCTAGTTACGGAAGTTGCAAATATTATTAAGGTATGTCTCAGATTCAACATCTATGTATTTCCTCTAATGATATTTTCCGATTCAAATGTACTTCGATTTAAATGTGATGTTTAGTTGCAGATCCAAGAAGCAGTGTTTGATACTTGCCACTCAATCGGAGAAAACCATCCAGTAAATACGGACCGAACAGAAGATCCTCAAAGAGAAATGACCAGAGTATAATTTACAGAATTCAGATCATTATATTCGTACGGAAGGCGATGTATTGATAGACTTTCCAGATTCTCAAGAAAACAGATAAGACAGATATTCACCTTTATGTCTCTATGGAAACACGACAGGTACCCTTACGAGGGGAGAGTATCAACTCGGCGTTTATAAACCCTCTCTGCAAAGGAGGTAGGCGTATAGTGGGTTAGGTATATACAGTGTTCTTCATTGCAGAGAAAATTGTTGTTTATCTGCCTGTCTCGTCTTCATTGAGAAAGTTGATGAATTATTAGAAAAATATTTCGCGTTCCAGTTATGAATGTTGAAAACAATATCCAGACTTTTCATAGATTCATATTCTATGTAGGTCTCACGGTTCAAATTTGAAATTGATACTTAGTTTTAGATCTGAGCAGCACATTGTTTGGCCTTCAAGATCCTTAATATAACCCACGTAATTGAACATGTGGAAGATGAATACTGGAAAAACCACTATTCGGAAAGAAAACGGATATGTAGCAATCTAGTTACGGAAGTTGCAAATATTATTAAGGTATGTCTCAGATTCAACATCTATGTATTTCCTCTAATGATATTTTCCGATTCAAATGTACTTCGATTAAAATGTGATGTTTAGTTGCAGATCCAAGAAGCAGTGTTTGATACTTGCCACTCAATCGGAGAAAACCATCCAGTAAATACGGACCGAACAGAAGATCCTCAAAGAGAAATGACCAGAGTATAATTTACAGAATTCAGATCATTATATTCGTACGGAAGGCGATGTATTGATAGACTGCCCAGATTCTCAAGAAAACAGATAAGACAGATATTCACCTTTATGTCTCTATGGAAACACGACAGGTACCCTTACGAGGGGAGAGTATCAACTCGGCGTTTATAAACCCTCTCTGCAAAGGAGGTAGGCGTATAGTGGGTTAGGTATATACAGTGTTCTTCATTGCAGAGAAAATTGTTGTTTATCTGCCTGTCTCGTCTTCATTGAGAAAGTTGATGAATTATTAGAAAAATATTTCGCGTTCCAGTTATGAATGTATAGATTCATATTCTATGTAGGTCTCACGGTTCAAATTTGAAATTGATACTTAGTTTTAGATCTGAGCAGCACATTGTTTGGCCTTCAAGATCCTTAATATAACCCACGTAATTGAACATGTGGAAGATGAATACTGGAAAAACCACTATTCGGAAAGAAAGCGGATATGTAGCAATCTAGTTACGGAAGTTGCAAATATTATTAAGGTATGTCTCAGATTCAACATCTATGTATTTCCTCTAATGATATTTTCCGATTCAAATGTACTTCGATTCGAATGTGATGTTTAAGTTGCAGATCCAAGAAGCAGAATTTGATACTTGCCACTCAATCGGAAAAAACCATCCAGTAAATACGGACCGAACAGAAGATTCGCAAAGAGAACTGACCAGAGTATACTTTACAGAATTCAGATCATTATATTCGTACGGAAGGCAATATATTGATATCCTTTACAGATTCTCAAGAAAACAGATAAGACAGATATTCACCTTTATGTCTCTATGGAAACACGACAGGTACCCTTACGAGGGGAGAGTATCAACTCGGCGTTTATAAACCCTCTCTGCAAAGGAGGTAGGCGCATGGTGGGTTAGGTATATACAGTGTTCTTCATTGCAGAGAAAATTGTTGTTTATCTGCCTGTCTCGTCTTCATTGAGATAGTTGATGAATTACAAAAATATATCGCGTTCCAGTTACGAATGTTGAAATCAATATCCAATATTCTATGTAGGTCTCACGATTCAAATTTGAAATTGATCCTCAGTTTTAGATCCGAGCAGCACATCGTTTGACCTTCAAGGTCCTTAATATAACCCACGTACGTAATTGAAAATGTGGAAGGTGCCTACTGGGAAAAACACTATTCGGAAAGAAAATGGATATGTAGCAATCCAGTTACGGACGTTGAATATATTATTCAGGTATGAATCACATAACACATCCATGTAATTCATCTAATAATATTTATTTTCTGATATGAATGTACTTCGATGTGATGTTCTGTTGCAGATCAGAGAAGCAGTATTTCATACTTGCCACTCAATCGGAGAAAACCATCCAGTCCATACGAACCGAACAGAAGAATCACAAAGTGAACTGACCAGAGTATACTTATGGTGACCAATTATGTTATATATATTTTTATAATATAATTAAAACTCAAAGTCTTATAATTTGTATCAATTGTATCCACAATTTGGTGACCCCGAAGTGATATTATGGAGCAGTTGGGCGAAGGCGAGATCATACAAATTTTAAGACATTTCAACATCCATGTTAGTGATTCAATGGAATTTTCTGTCCATTAAAAAACTTATAAGGACCAATAAAAACTGTTTTTCGATATGTACTGAATATTGTATATTATTATTGTGACTTCCCCTCCCCTGAGATTATTTCTGCGGATGCCCCTGACTATGAGTAGACAGCATGTGCCCTATCCTACATTCTTCGGCTCCGTCGTGCACAGCTAGAGTACTGCGTCCCCTTCTATCGCATCAAATAGTACTCGCAATGCTCCTCGTCTTACACCCAATTTTTCAATTTGAAAGCCTGGCAACCCCTATTCATGAACGGATTGTGCAGGGCAACCGTATACTACTCGTTATTCGTTATAAAATTGCCTTCATTTTGATATATTTCACGAATGGTAGGCAATGGTGCAATTATTACTATCAGCTTGCCTGTTTGTATACGGCAACCATGTAATAGGGACCAGAAAAATATAGACAACCTAGCTGTTTCATATTCTATATATTGTATGCTTTCCATCGGACTCTCATTCATTTGGCAAGCAGGTTGGTGAAATTTAAAAAAATATATTTCTTCAAATTTTCATTTATCATAGTCATGAACATATTATTTTTTATGGCAGCCCTATAGGTACATGTTCAGAAACATATTTTATTTGATAAATAGTTATTTATTATACAAGGGAAAAAAGTAGTAGATTTTAGCTCCAGGTTGTGTTGTCTCCCGACGCGTAGCGGAGGGAGACAAAAAACCGTGAGCTAAAATCTAATATTTTTCCCGTGTATAATACACTATTTTTTTCTGTGACAGAAGAAAGGACGAATCAATATTGAGAAGATATTACATTATTTTGAAGTCTGAAAATTATCGACGTGAAATTTTAAGTTTTTAACAGTAGGGACACCTGCGTTGTAGGCATCTTTATCATTTTTTGAAGTAATCAAATATCTGATGTCACTTCTGGCAGTCTAATTCTGTGATTTGCTTTCAAAAAATTACGAATTTAGTGGTTGTTTAGTAATATACGTAACCGCGAAGTCGAATGGAAAATAAAAGGAGCAGTTCTTTCTCGGAGACGGTATTATTGACTCATTTTTCAGAACTATAGCACAACAAAATTCATCAACAGTATATATATATGTGGAATATATCCGATAATAATAGTTATTTATGTATTAAGGGAATTATGAGGGCCTTAATTACCGATGACAAAGTTTGCGTCCCGAGGGTCTCTGGCCCGAGGGACAGCAATTGCCAGAGGTTATTAAGGCTCTATAATTCCCGTGGTACATAGATAATTTTATTTCTGACCGATTTTCATAACAATATGTCCATATTTAGAACGCAATAAATGTTTAAATTCATAACCTTTCTGGTATATTTGAATTAGGTAGCGTTGATTGTAGCATTGTTGGTTGTTGCTATATTTTTTAAGCGGCGGAAGTAATTTTCAGGGAACATTTGAAAATTGTATATTTATTATTTGTAATGACGTGAATAAGGAAAATATGTCTTAGTTTTCATCACATATAAACGTTTATAAGTATCATTTTCACCTGTAAAAGGTAAGAGGGAGTTTTTGAACCTTAATATCCCAAGGGAGTTATGACCCTCATTATAGATATCGTAACTATGACGATATAAGCTTATAATGTCACTGTCAGAAATAAAGTAATTTATGAAAAGTGACATTTTATAACCTGCCAACAGAGATGAAATGCCAAACTTTTTTCCCCGTCACAGAAAAAATATAATTGTCATCCGGCAAGCAGATGAGTGAAGGTCGACCTTACTTGGCATCTTAGACTACAAGGAACGACGCTGCTCAACACTCACTTTCTGTATTCCGCATCCAGCGTAGTGCTGCCGTAGTGCTGCGCCAACTTCATCGCATTCACCAGCTCCGCCATATCCTTGCTCAGCACCTTGTGCGCCATCTCCACCTCGCGCTGCGCCGCGTTCGGAAAGGCGCCGACGATCTCGTCGACGCTGGCCAGCAGGCTGCGCAGCTCCAGACCGACGCGCTTGACCAGATCGAGGTAGCGGTCGGCGTCGGCCTGCTGGACGCCTTGCGAGAGCGACATGACGGCTCGCACCACGTCCGTGGTGGTCTCGTAGACGCGGTCGTGCGTGCGGTCCAGGTTGGCCGTGGGATTCTGGCCTGGCTCCTGCGAGAGACAGATGAAGATAGAAAAAGCTAGGGTCCCTTGATGCAAACTGACGTATTTGTCATCTTAACAGGGTACGAACAAATCCTCGTCTCCTCTCCCTCTAAAGTGTTTGTGAAACAGTTATATAGTTCCATCCTTAATCAATTCTGGGGATAAACACTAGATTTTTGACATTCGTTGTGTTTTAGGTTATATTGAGGTCATTGGCGTATCATACGTAATTTCCATATGGAATTCCTGATTCTACTATACCAAGATATAGATGAAAAATCCTCTAGTTTTAGAGTTTACTACTTCAGTATGATCTTTGCCAGGTAGGAAACATATAAGTTGTACTGAAAGCTCAATATATTTCACCCAAAGAGACTGTTCTTAGACTGTATACCAGGGTTGACTGAATTGACTGAATGAATTCTGATTTCAAGCTGAGCAGTAGTTTATCTATGCGCTGAATGAGCTGAGCCTTACGATTGAGAAATGGTGAAAGCCTCAATGTGAGTATCTAAACTACTGTACTCATGTCATGTGTGCTAAATATATTTTCGGAAATCCAACTCGGAGAAGAATTTATGGAATTTATGAAACTTCGTCTTGGACGAAAAGTAGGCTGATAAAAAGTAATACGTAACATGTGCAGGGAAATAAAGAATAGAAAATATTTCACCCCCATGTTATACATATGATTCTTCCGTCTCTCTTAAATAAGAAGTCATTTCAAATAATTCATTGATGAAAGTAACAAACAAGTAGGTATACGAAGTATAACTGATAGGCACGTTATTTTCACTCTTGCATCCTACATATTTTCTATTTGTGGTAGAGTAATAATTATATAAACTAATGTCTTTCGCCCATATTGGATCCGTCATCTTGGATTTTCCAATTTTGATGAAACAATCATTATCTCCTACCCCGAAAACCCCCAAATATCAATTTTGAATAGAATCGGATCTTCATTACAAGTTCGCCATATGATCTTCCTCAACAAGTAAATACCCTATACATACCTATTATTGAAATTTTGAATGATTTTCTGTAGCGCCCATGGATGTGACGTGACAGCAATGTGGGGGATCTCAGTAGACAACACTAAAGTCTCTAGATCATTGAAAAAGAATGCAGTTATGATCTGTCCATACCCTGTTATATGATTTTAACGTCAATAGGGTCCCTTGATGTAAATTGACGTATTTGTCATCTTAACAGGGTACGGACAGATCCTCGTCTCCTCTCACTCTGAAGTGTTTGTGAAACAGTTATATAGTTCCATCTTTATTCATCTCTGGGAATGAAATTTCTGACATTTGTTGTTTTTTAGGTTATATTAAGGACATTGGCGTACCATACGTAATTTCCTCATTCAACCCTACATATTATATCCATATGATGATGATTATTTTCGAGTTTTTGATTTTTCAACTCCAGCATAATCTTTGTGAGGCAGTGAGCAAATTTTTCTGAAAGTTTAATACGTTTCACCAAATGGGACTGTTCTTAGGCAGTACCTATTAATAAATGGATTTTGATTTCAGACTTAATGTTGGTATAATTTTTTGAATGATAGGGCATGTGCCTCTTCTTTTAATCCTCAGTTTCAATCAAAACTGTTCCTGCTGAAATGCATTCAAAAACTTGTGGAGTGGATAACTATAGGCACAATAAGAAAGTATAATATGTGACTTCGTGTTAGTTTTACCTCGAATATTTTGCTGATGTATTTACCAATTTTTTCCATTCGGTCACTTCACTTTCCATTTTCTAAGTTAATTTGCATTTGATGGAAAGCTGACAAATTCAAATTTGCCATCCGGCTGATTGATACAGCCTACCGCAGCACATTTTACCATCCTTCCAAAACAGAATTGAATAATGTCGAATTAAGATCAAGTATGAAATTGAAATTTTGTGAGATCTCTTTCAACGCCCTGCGAATGTGACGTGACAGCAATGTCATGCCAGGGACGCCAATACACGAAACCAAAGTCACTAGATGATTAAAAGAGAAAGGAGCTATGATCTGTCCGTACCCTGTTAGATGACAAATACGTCATTTTGCATCAAGGGACCCTAGAAAAAGCTAGGGTTATATCACATTTCAGTATAAGTATCCAATTCCTTGAATGAAGTAACAGACCAATGAAAAATCGGCAAGCATAAATCCACCTCACCTTTTTCTCCGTCTCGCTTATCACAGATCCGCTTTGCGACGTATCGCTGGCCTCGTTTCTGCCACTCAACGTCATCGTATTGGTCAGCGAGCCGGCCGGCGACTGACAGTTGCTGCTACCCGCCGACGATGACGTCACCGGCCCACCCGATGACGTCAGGGGCCCGCCCGACGACGTAAGGGGCCCGCCCGATGACGTCAGGGGCCCACCTGAAGAGGTCAGGGGGGCCGATGACGTCTGGTAGGGCGCGGGGTTGATGTAGCTGGGGCTGCTCGTTTGAGGGGACGGAGGGGTGGGGGTGCTGGTTGATAAGTCCGAGGGAAGGTCGTCAGGGTGTTGGATCGTGCTCAACCTCTTCTGCGAATGACAAGAGTGCGATTTTTTATTTTTGAGAAATTGAAGGGATGTGGATGTTCTGCAAGTGTGTGCCGTTGACAGATAACATTCTAATAAATATGGGCTGACATATGTTTTGTCCACCAGATCGTCCTACTGAGACTTGAGGTTAGAGTTGGTAGAACTGATAGGTATATTTTTTTGGTGTTGTAATTTGTTCTCTTTCTAATGATATATTCTCTATCAATGTGAGAATTGCGGGTGAAGTTCCACATTGAGAGTAAAAAGCGCAAGTCTGCTCAAGACTTCCATAACTTGAGTTTCTTTATTTGTTAGGCCACATCATTCTTTCAGAATGTAAAGAATCTCAGGGGTCTGGGTTTGCGGGGTTCGGCTGAGTAAAAAATTGCTCGTCGGGTTGCAGATCTTTATTCAAACTGGAGGAACAGAGGTGAAATGCAGCAGGAAAAAACCCAGTGGCGAAAGGAGACCAGTTCTTTAGTCTAAATTCATCCAAGTCTACAAAAAGGGCATAAATATTAACTCCTAATCCAGAACACACTGGTTACACTTGCTAACATTGAATTCGATGATTCAAAATTCGTCATGCTCGACAAATCTTAGGTTAAGTTCTACAATTTTACAATTTATCTAAAATGGGTTTCACCTACCTACAAAAAGGGCATAGGCGACAGGTCCAGCTCTGCCAGGAGCGTAGACGCTACAATACAACCAAAAACACCCTCTGCAAAACTGGATACACAATGATTTAAAATCAATAACCTTTACAGTTTCAACATTGAGGCACCATCTTCTAATTTCCTCCTCTTCCCCTCCCCCCGTTCAAATAACCCTGACTTCCTTTCGAATGGAAATAGGCGCGCGATTTAAATAAATGACCCTCTCGCGATTATTCAGCCGTGTATGCTTGGTTGCCGCAATTCAGACGCGATCTGTTACAAGAATATTGTCGATAAAACAGGCCACAGCCCTCAGGGAAATTCGGAAAAATTTTGGGACTTTTGACGTAGACCTCATTACTCACCAATTGAGTTTCTGACTCTGCTAGCCATTTGGAGTCTTCTTCGGACTCCTGCAGTTGTTGTCTGAGTTTCTGCCTCAACATACTGTTAAAATTTGAAGGATTGGGCGATGGATCGTAACGGATGCTTTCCAACATGAGCTGGTCTCCATATATCGATGACATGGGCTGAAAAATACGCATATCAAAACATTTTTACAAAATAGAGAAGAGACATTCTGATACTAAATGAGTTATTTTGCAAAACTGCTTTTTTTCAGTATGAGTCTGAATGTATCTTGATGCTAGCAAGTGAACCATAAGGCAAATGAGCTGGACTGGTTTTTATCATTCAACAATATTTACATTGATGCCACAAACATAAAAATATTTTTCATTCCACTCAAATGTGTTGCACATTATGTTGTGCTATATGCATTTTTCATCTAGATTTTCTAAAACCAACGGTGAATTTATACAAACTTAGATATTTTATGAACCTGATTTCGTTATATATACTTGAATTATGCTGTTTTATTCATTTTGCCAGGAATAAATTGAAAATATCGAATTTAACTTTTAATGAAGTCAATACAGTCCATAGTTATGGGAGTAGACAATTGAAATACTTGATAGCAACTACATTCAAGTCGAACATTGGCAAACAATCTGTATTTCACAATGGAATAATTTTATACAATTTATTACCAAATGAGTTGAAAAATATACATGATACAAGGTTTAAAATCAATCTTAAAAAATACATGCTCAGGACAATTTGAATGAACAACATGTGGCATGATTTGATTACTCAGAAATGAAATGTTATAACTTTCATCTTGAGAAACAATATCAATTTGTTTCCACTCAGTGGAATTCATTAATTAATCCTTTATTATATATTTAATGTTCATTGGGGTAATAAAGACAATAAATGTATTGCGAATTCGCAGGTAATTTCGAAATATTTCTGAAATATGGGTGTGAATCAAAACAATTCCATGCATCATGCCAAATGTACAAACACCTATCCAAGCTCCGTGAAAACGAAATAAAAAACGTTCAGACAACTTTCATATGCCACTTTCGAACCTGCGTCAGTGTTCTCTGCATGAAAACACTCAACATGCGACCCCCTGAAACTATCAAGGTTTTTCCCAGTTTATTCAAAATACCTGTTTGTATGTTCCAATGTATATTTTGTTGACGGTTTTTAATAAACTTATCATTATTATTTTCTTAAATTAAGGCTAGTCTCTATCCTTAAATAGCGCAGGAATAACTCTGGACTGAGATGAAATATCCAACTCGGAACGAAGATTCACCAATATTACAGAGATTACATTTCGAATGATCGAAAAAAGAAAAACAACACTTAGGTGCACTAGTCAAAACAATTCCATGCATCATGTCAAATCCACAAAAACCAATCAAAACGTGAAAACACTCAGACAACAAACTTGCATGCCACTTTCAAACCAGTGCCAGAGCCTTTTGCAAGAAAAATTGCTGCTTGCGCGCGCAACTCTTGACATACGGCCTGGGTACCAGTGTAGAGATAATGAAGCACGTTTGACTTTTTGTATGCCTCACTTATCCGATGAATCCGGCCTGGGTACCGGCGTAGAGATAATGGAGCACGTTTGAGTTTCTGTATAACCCCTGTTATATTCTTTCGCCTATTGCACTTAAAGTAAATCAGTTTCGCCTAAACCGTCTTTATTAGCAGTATTTGACTTTTGAATATTCTGACAAAATGTTGACAAGTTTTTCTATTTTTATCAATCACCATAACATTTGAAGAAATACAGAGTGAAAAATAATTATTTCTGTAACATTCTCCCTCCTAGTAATGAATCACAATCATTACTCCTCTTAATCTTATTGAACATCCAACTTGCATAACTTGACGACCGGTCTTCTGTATGTTCCCATATGTGTCTTGATATCTGCACTCCTGATCTGGCCATCTCGACTTGGGAAGACAGATGTTACGATTCCTTTCAACCAACAGTTTCTGGGGAGTTCAGGATCGACGATTATTACCACATCTCTTCCAAAAATGGTCAGCAAAATATTGCGCAATGCGCCATTGTTTTCTTGACACCAATTCTTTTTCAGAAGTACAACAGGGTACGGAGGCATCACTTGAAGTGCCAATCAAAAAATGATTGGGAGTGGGAGTTCCTTCATCAAGTGAAACATGCACCAACGGACGACTGTTCACGATATTTTCTGCTTCAACCATCAAAGTTGCCAAAACTTCGCCTTTGGGATACTGATCTTTCAAAATGCTTTTCAATGCAATCTTAACTGACCTTACCAGCCTTTCCCAACTTCCAGCCATGTGAGGGCTCAAAGGTGGCAAAAACATCCATTCGATGCCATCAGGTGATAGTGTGTTCACAATTCTTGTCTGATTCAATTCTGTTACAGCTTTCTTCAATTCAGTATCCGCTCCTCTTATATTCGTTCCATTATCAGAAAATATCTTCTTCGGACAACCTCGTCTTCCTATAAGTCTTCGTATCGCCAGTATCGCTGAATCCGTTGTCATTGAATGAGCAATTTTTAAATGTATAGCTCTAGTGGAGAGACATGTAAAAAGTACACCGTATCGTTTTTCATGTCTCCTTCCTACAGTGACACTCATTGGACCGAAATAATCCATTCCTGTATGAGTGAATGGTCTGACAAAACCAGCTACTCTACATGTTGCTAGTGGAGACATTTCAGGTACCATAGGCTTCGACCTCATTTTTTGACACCTTTGACATGAGTTCCAGCTGCTTCTTACTGCTGCTCGTCCACGTAGAATCCGATACTTCCACCGAAAAATCCGTTTGAGATAATGGGGCCAGATTAATTTCACACACATTAATTAAACTCCACATTGAATTATAAGACTTTTTTATCTTGGACACACTGTAGATCAAGATCGAAACCATTGAAGTTCTGAATGAAAAATAATAAAAAAACAGTCCACCCGCATATTGTATTAAAAGAGACACAAAGAAGGTGCAACATGCTTTTGAAACACAAAAAACAATCATTTTTGTTATATGAATACTCTAGTGTAGAAAATAGAAGCACAGATAGGTGAAAAAATCATCAGAAGGGACTAAATAGCAATATTTGGGAGAATTTGTAGATGATTTGGAAATAACATGATGAAAAAATTCCTTACCAAAGAGTTGGTTGCAAATTCGATATGTGATGTGATACCTAATGTGAAAAACTCCAAGTACATCAAACTTTTGAAATTTTCTTCGCCTTATTAAACAGCAATATTCAATTTTTGGCAATATCAGATGAAATGATTGCATAATTTTAAGTTTTTCTTTATACTTTTCTTCATACTCAACCTCATCCGAGTCATTCGTACGTGGCCAGAAACGATGCACTTCCAGCTGCTTCTTACTGCTGCTCTGCGAATCCAATACTTCCACCGAAAAATCCGATTGAGATAATATTCACACACATTAATTGAACTCCACATTGAATGTTAAGACTTTTCTCCAGATCAGGTAATTATTTTTCAAATTTTGGACTTATGCACATTTGTACTCGACTTCCAGACCAGGTGATCGCCGTCTGATCACTACTGCGGCCGGAAGGCAAATCGATTCTGTACTGAAATGAGATGGATAATCAAACACCAAACGATGTTCTACGAACATTACAGAAACTCCTTCTCAATGAAAAGATAAACAACAAAAAACGAAACACATTAGTGCACGAATGAAAACAAATCCATGCATCATGCCAAACCAACAAAATCCAATCAAAACGTGAAAACATTCAGACAATAAACTTGCATGCCACTTTCGAACCTGCGCCAGAGCCTTTTGCACGAAAAATTGCTGCTTTCGCGCGCAACTCTTAACATCTGCCCCTCCGAAATCGTAAATACTCTCTTCGAAGTGTTGCATCTCTCTCCCTTTCTCGCTAAACTGATAAACAACAGGAGAGGGATGGAAGTTTGGGACATCTTCAAGGTCGAACCCAGAAGCTTGGGCGGGAATCTTGTGGGCATGCCGCTCCAACGACCCCATTTTGGGAGAGGTAGTACGCGACTTGCGCTCCAAAGAGCCCAACTTCGGACTGAACTTCGGCGAGCCGGCCTTCCGTTCCAGCGAGCCCATGCGCGGCGTGGCGCTGCCGGTGCTGGTCCGGGAGGCCGTGCGCTCCAAAGTTCCGGTCTTTTTGGGCCCCTCGGGGGTTTCTTGTACCTCGGGATCGAGCTTTTGGAGGTTCTGTCGGGGGATGGGTTGGGTGACTAGGACGGGCTCGGGAGCGTTCTCTTTCTGGTGGAAATCGACGGCTACCGTGTTAAATACCGAGGCGGGGGTGTTGTAGGCTGCCGGGTTGAAGCCCCTGCACTCGTTCTCTTTCAGCAGGTGGGCCAGGACCTCGTGGTTCTGGGCTACGATGTAGGTTTGCGAGACCGGAGCTGGTTCTGATAGGGCGTACGATGAGGAGTCGGCAGCTGGAAGAAAAAAAAAACAGGAATAGAGCATAAATTCAATGAACATTTGAGAAACTTGAATAAAAAATTGTCTTCTGGTTGTTATGCTGTGAAAATTTCAGCGAATGAACTAGGATACTCAACCGCAAAGACAGTATACTACTCCTTGCTAGAATCTCATTTGCGGTACGGTATCCCATTCTGGGGAGTGTGCAGTGGTAATGTGCTCTAAAGTGCGAGCCCTGAGATACCTCTGTAAACTAAAATTTCGCGATTCGTGCAGTCTTCATTCAAGCAACACAACATACTCACGGTAGTTTCAACGCAATAGAATCAATCATAACATGAATAAAATCATTGATTTTCGACACATTTGAGTGGAATGCGGAAATTAGCAAAACAGGTTATAACCATTGGCATTTTCGATGAAAAAATATAGAATTGTGCGAGACATTATATTATGCTATTCGTTTCCATATCTGTTTTCGTTTAAATTATCGACATTGGTCGTAGATTGTTCAGGTGGAATTTTTTTATCAATATAAAAATACCTCAGAAAATACAAAAACTGACAGAAACTCAATCATTTGCAAATTGAACCCAAAATTCAAAATTTGATTCACAAGATACTGAATTTAGCTGGTATTGTTGTTAGGCAATACTAGGGTTCCTATCAGCGTTGCTAGGCAACCAGCAACTTTGAACAGCAGTGTTATTAAATCAATAGCAGCAGTATTGTCAAGAAAACAGCAATGTTGCTAGGCATTAGGAAACCATCCTAAACAGCAGCATGGATAGATTTCCTTGGTATGTTCGGAATTACCAGATCGCCAGGGATCTGAAACTCCCTTCAATTGTGTCAGTCATTAGAGAACGAAACATCAAGACTTTCGAAAAAGCTGAGGTTCATGAGAATCAGCTTGTTCAAAATGCAGCTGATTAGGAAACAGGTGATCAATCAGAGTTCAAAAGACCGAGATTGTCCATAAACTAGAGAAAATATCGACATTATGACCAAATTTACTATTTTCAAGTTTTTGATATTTATTTATTCCGTTTGATCTTTTTCAATTCTCAGAATATATTTCTGAAACTCATTTGGGGCAGAAGGGCTGTTCGCATCAAACTTCAATACCGTTTTTATTTTGTTTCATAAGAGATATAAGGATAAGAGGGACTCTTCCCTGGTCTGAATCAAATAAAAGAAAGATCCAATAATATGGATAAATTATCAGCAATGGTATATGGCTACATTTTTAATAACGAAAAAAGTTATCTATTATACAAGGAAAACGAGTTTTAGATTTTTGCTCGAGGTTGTGTTGTCTCTCGACGCGTAGCGGAGGGAGACAAAAATCTGTCAACAGAGATGAAATTTCAAACTTATTTCCCGTCACTACAAAAAATAAATTTTCCGAACACTATTCCTACGACGACTCACCTTGCATGGGATACCGACTCGGCTTTGGCGGCGGAACGAAATCATCGTCGCACCCCCACGACATCGCCGCCATCTTCCTGTTCTCCCTGCGCAGCGTATCCTGCTGCGCGCTCCGCTCCTCCAGCAGGATCTCCTGCAGGATCTCTTTGACGTCCTTCATAATAATAATAATATTAATAACATTTATTGATGCCAAGAAACATACATGTTTATGAAGGGATACAAGAAAAATAAATAAATAAACGAATTGAATATCCAATAAAATGGAATATGAACAGTTGAATCGGAATTAATCAATGATAATACTGATTATAATAATACAGAAATAATGACCAGTTCTACATGAGTTCTACCGTTTATGTACAAAATTTTGCAGGCCAGTTGGCTTTGCCCGTCACTTTGAAGTATCTGTCAAATTACGAAAAAGACTCGTTTGATATTTTCATTTTTCAAGCAGCACAAATTGTACTATTTTCTTCGTCCATCCATATCGTTTCATCACCAGTTACTTGATAAAAATACATCATGCAACTGATGGTTACCTAAAGTCAAAATTAGAAAACCATTTTTTTTTCCTTATTTATTTATTTGTGTTGTCGATGAAAGGTTTTCAGGTAAAATTGTTCTTTCCTTCCCACCTATTGATATATACATTTTATCGAAAGTGTATTGACAATAAACATAAACGAAATATGTTTTGGACCAAAATACAAATGACACAACTCGTAATATAATGAACAAATTCAAAGTGATATTTCTGTTCCATAATCCATTCAATTAAATGAATATATGTATCTATAATACTGTGAAACATTCAATTACTTATTATGTTTTATCATCATACTCTCTTCCAATCTATATTGTCGTATGGAATAATTGGATGGGGTGGTATGTATGAGATCCATCTCAAACCTTTATTATGTATTCAAAAATAGGTTTTGAAAATAATAATTCTGAAATCATTCGATAATACATCAGTCATTATTAATAAAAAATAACATAATATTAAATGTTATGAGGAACATTGTCCGTGGAAATATTCACAAAAAAGTGTTAGGTCGCCGAATTTTCAACAGTGTTCCAATGATAAAGACAATTATTCTAAAAGCGTCAGTAATATTCGTTGAAAAGTGTCCAGCAATATCGAATAACATCAATCAAAGTTATGATACAAGAAACAAAATAAACAATGTATGACTTGAAAAACGTAAACTTAATATTTTGGAACAAGATTCTAGTTTCATTGGATCTTTAATTTATAATAAAATCCCATCAAAAATTAAAAGTCTAAATAATATAATTTTCAAAAAAGAAGGTTGACGGCTGGTTTATGTAAAATGATTATTTATATTTGATTTCAGTATTCCCATAGTAGAAAAATAATATTTATACATGTAATAATTTTTCTCGTTCACACACAGGCCACTAACCTATGTGAATGAGAAACTATTTGAAATATATATACCATGTGACACAGGCGACATGTAGCAGCCTGTAGTTTTTTATTTGAAGAGATAAAATTTTGAAATTCACAGGGGGTATATAATAAATGGTAGCGCACTTTACGAACTTGACGACAATTTTTTTCAACCACCTGTTTGACCGGAAGTGACCCAAACATTTTTTTTTAAATGTCACCCTGTACATTTCTTCAGTCTATCTTTTCCGCCATGAAATTCTCTATCCAACCATATATCACAAAGTGGCATTTATTTCTTAATTCGCTGTTGAATTGCTTTTTATTCAAAAAGAATAAGTTGGCTGTGACATGAATTCGATGATATATCGACACTTGATAGGCTTTGAAATTTAAAGATCATTATTAAACCGATATTATTCAAAAGGTTTTGATTTTCTGATCAATGTCTGCAGGTTGTCAATAGCTTGTTTGAGTCAAGATGAAAACCTTCGAAAATAACTCATGATATTGAGGAATCTAAGATAGGAACATATTTTCTCGAATTCTGCTACTCATACAAAAACTATCTGTCTTTCATTTTTGCTCATAGCTCTTGATACGAAACATAATATTTCTGTAGGAACTATAAAATAAATGCAATTCTTAGATAATAAATAAGAAATTGATAATTCACACAGTCAAACACAAATGGAAGCAAACCCAAATACATCACTATTCATATTCAAAGTGCCTCCCCTGATTTTCCTGGCACATCCTGACTTTCTGAACAATTGCTCTGAGAACATTCAGTAGCTGCTCTTCAGTAATTTCATTCGAAATTTGAATGGAAAATAAGTGTTTCCATTCAAAAAAATTAAGTTGATCATCGTAACTCATTTTTGAGCCATCCTGTATAAATGAATCTACTACCATAAAAACCGCAGGAAAAAATAAAAATCGACCTGTCCGAGCGTTTTCCCAAGAAACACAGGCGTGACTTTTAAATATTGAAAAGCGTCTGTAGGAGTGTCAGGACACCCATTTTCCATACCTTGAAGCTGGGCCTTTTGCTCGGCTCGTACGACCAGCACTGCGACATGAGCGAGTAGAGGCGCGGGGGGCAGTGGGGCGGCAAAGCGAGCCGTTCGCCGTTCTCGATTTTGCCGATGACGTCGTTGTTTTTCACGCCGAGGAACGGTTTGATGCCGTACATGAGGATCTCCCAGATGCACACGCCTGGTAGGAATTGGAAACAAATTAGTCATATTTATGTAAACTGTTATGGTTGGATTGAGGCAGGCACGCCTAACCACCTGCAAATCAGTTTCACGTTATTGGCCCTGATCAGTGCAGGACAGTCATCAGACAGAGGTCCGAAGACCTCTTGCGTTAGCGATACCAGACTCAAGTGAAGCACAATACACATAGAAATTTTGGAAAACTCTCATTTCATTTCCACATTCTGTTAGTTGGAAATATGTACCTATTGACATAAATAACCCTGAACGAATCGATGAAAATTATCAATGCGGTTTATTGTCATTAGATCTATCCAAAGCTTTTGATAGTGTTAACCATAACATTTTATTAAATAAATTATTTGCAATTGGTGTCAGAGGAAGAATTCATGATTGGTTCCAAAATTATCTATCAAATAAAAAACAATATGTTGATGTGAGTGATACTTGCAGCTCCTTGCGGTGTACCGCAAGGGTCAGTCTTGGGACCAGTTTTATTTTTAATCTACATAAATTCAATATCAAACTTGGAATTGAGAGAAAAACTTGAATTATTTGCAGATGACACGACATTGATTTATTCCTCCAAAAATTCAAATAATATTATGATGGACATGAAAAGTGATTTAGAGAAAATATCCTCTTGGTTACAAGTTCATAAACAGAACACTGAACATTTCGAATAGAACACCATTCTTCAACAATAAACTCATCAAATATACACATAGGCATTGTAACTGATGTTTTTTTTTTAATATCCGACCGAAATTTTTAGAATCAAATTTTATGAGCGTGCTCTGGTCTTGAATCCAAGAAACAATCTCCAAACTGGATATATTCGACAAACACTCACCGAACATCCAGACGTCGCTAGCAGTCGTGAACCTCCTGAAATTAATGCTCTCTGGACTCATCCACTTGATCGGTAACTTCATCTTCGAGGCTTTGTAGTAGCTTTGGTCGTCGCCCATCCATCTCGAATCGAATGAAAATTTGTTTTATTGGTTTAATGCCCGAAGAAGGATATCTCAATGACAAAACATTATGATTTTATATACGTCTTTTCTAATTGTATCAATCATTGAGAAGATGTCCCAAACTCAATATGAAAATTTTAATAAAATATCAACATTATTATAGGAACTCATTGAAAGTACTGTATTGTCTTCCATATGATACACCAACAACTGAACTGTTGCTTTAACAAAAACATATTCTTCAGAAGAACTGTACACATTAGAGACTCTGAAACCTCATACAATAGCATTAATAAAAAATTGATATGTAATATTATTTTGACAAGAAATTTTGAAATTCATAGTCATCAAACAAGACAATATGAACTGAGTGAGAGTTCATTGTACCAGTCACCTGACGAAGCTACTGTGTTAGCAAAACATGTCGTGTGTTTGAGAATTTTGTGGAAATCTTATCGTTTGTGAAGTTTTTACCTTGGCAGATTTTGCGGAAATATTGTCAAGAGCATAGATGAGATTATCAAGGTTAGATAGAGAGTCGAAATCTTGGGGTTTCATTGCACAATAAATTGGACACTCAAGCAATATAGAGTTATATCTATAGTTTCCAGTTCTTTCCTGTTACATATTGTGAAAATTGCCTGCGGATCTATTCCATATGTAGAGCCGCTCAGTGTGAATTTAATGATGTATTTATTACAAAGACGGAGTTGTGCAATGGTTCTTTTGACTAGGATAGGTGCATTGAGGTTTGAATAATCTTAGTTTGATCTGGTTATTCTAAGGAAGTAATGAAGAGAGAGGAACGCAGAAGTGGGACATTGTCTTGAAATAACTTTTCCTGAAATTCGAGCAATATGAATTTATATGGCTAGTTATGGATTTCAATTTGAGACCTTAGAATGTGATGTCTTTCCCGCAAAAGAAATAAATTAAATAAACTCCTTCCAATAAGAAGCAATCACACCATTTGAATTGTTATGCATCAAAACAAAAATCACACCAAGAAACCAATGACCCTCACCTCGACAGCCCGAAATCGGCCAACTTGACACACTTATCCGACGACACCAGCACATTCCTCGCCGCAATGTCCCTGTGCACGTACTTCTTCGACTCGAGGTAGCTGAGCGCCGTCGACAGCTGGTAGGCGTACAGCAGCAGCGTTGCCAAATCGAGGCGCGCCTTGTTCGTTTGCAGGTAGGAACGGAGTTCGCCGAGTTTCGCTAGCTCCATCACGATCCACACCGGGGATTCGGAGCACACGCCGATCAGCTTGATGATGTGCTGGTGGTCGAACTTTTGCATTATATCTGGAAATGGGTCGTGAAGTTTGTTTACAAATACAGTCCACTATCTATCAAGCATCGAACATACTGGTCCCTCGAGCCGGATCTATTCAAATCAAACCTCCAAGACTGCCAAGTTCTCTACTTGCAGCACTCAAAAATATCTGGAGTAACAGTGAATGGCAAGCAGCTGGAGCTTCCACAGGTAGCAACAAGCAGTTCAAGCGAACAAAGTTCATGATTTTTGCAGCTCCAATTTCGCGTGGGTCTCAATTAGACGATTCAAGGATATCGCTCTCTGATGTACTTGAAACTTTTGTTTCAACGTTTTTGTACATTTGAAGACCTCAATTTAGAGTAGGGACACTCTGACAAACACTAATATTCAGACATAATTATAAATAGATAGAGAATTCCAATTCTCATATCAATCTTAATTTCATTATATCATCATATCCATACAAATACAGTCCACTATCAAACATCGAACATATTGGTCCTTCGAGTCGGATTTATTCAAATCAAACCTTCAAGACTGCCAAATTCTCTGCAAAGGATACAGAGCTGCACTCAGACTACCTGAAGTAACAGTGAATTCCAAGCACCTGGAGCTTTCTCAGGTAGCAGCAAGCAGTTTGAGTAAACAAAGTCCATGAATTTTTGCACAAAGCGGTAGATCAAAACATAAAGTAAACAATGGACATTTTCGTGTCTCGAATTGTCATATTTTTCGTTCGCTCGAGCTGACTTGACACAAAATTAGTACCTCAAAGGAATCCATTCAAACAAAAAGCTCAAAAGATGATCATATGTGGACAACGTCGATAATATTCATCTCAAATGAGTTTGTTAGAGTATTTCAACCTGCTGAAGTTGATTTTTTAAGGTTAATTCCGTTCATTGCATGATGTAAACAGAGAAAGTCATGTACGTTGCCAAAGAATAAAAAATGCAATTTGACATTTTTTCTCAGATGTCACAGCGAAGCTCGCTAAAATTTGTTGGTATTGAAAATTCACTTACAAGCTTCTTCGAGGAACTTTTCCGTAGTAGCGGCGTCAGCGTCTCCCTTACAAGTTTTCACAGCCACTGGGATTTGCACGCCATCTTTGACCTTGACCGTTCCTTTGTGAACGTCACCGAACTGACCTTCTCCGAGTATTTCGTGCAGTTCGATTTGACTCCGAATCACCTCATAGTTTCTAGCTGAAAATGTCACACCTCTACATTAGAACAGATGAAATGCCTATATTTCGACTCATTACAAAGGCAATCAAAAAAGTTTTCGATGCATTTTTTAAGGTCTTGTGATAAGTGAAAAAAATTAACACAAACGAATTATGCCTATAGTAATTTCTTACTGGGCATACACTATAACTTTACCTGAAGGAACTGAATAATCTCCTTCTTCTACTATTTCTGCATAATCTTCTGATAACATAGTGCCAGTCGGATTCGAATAGCACTCTTTGCTGGACCGACTCTGTTTGACAGAGTTGGATTCTGAAATTGAAATCATCCAATGAAAAAACGAAATTTCTAGTATAAAGCATAAAAATTGTAGGTACTGACTGATGCATTCAGATCACATACTTTTTCTGCTAGTGTTTGAGGATAGTAAATGTATTATCAGTCAGTTCATTATCTAATTATTATCATTAATTTTTGAAATCCAGTGCACATGCCAAAATGAAAAAGTTCGAAATGTTCCAAAGATTCGAAAATATAATTCTAACCAATGAAAAAATGTAAGAACATGATGTTTTGTCACTATTACTACTAACCTTTGCATGGACATGGAAATTGCTTCCAAACAGTAGCTTGGAAAGAAATAAAAGAAACAGTATGATAAGTCTATTCTATTCTAGAAGAGGCAAGAAATAGTAAATTAAAACAAACTAGAACATTTTTAGCATGCAGGTACCACATAATTTATTAAATATTATTATTATTGATTATTGTTTGACTTGGAAAACATAAACTCAAAATTATGCAACACCAACAACATGCTAATTTCATTGGATTTGAAGTCCATTATATTTGATATTTTTTCAATCAAATATTTCAATTTTTGAATAATTGAGTTCATTTATATTCAATTCAAGTATATTACTTTATGAAAACTCTACATATTTCATTTGATTCACTGAAAATTGTTGAATGAAAACAATTTTATAACAGAAGTACACAAACTGGTGAGTTGTTCTGTGGTATTTGGTGGTCAGACAGGTATAAAATTTGAACACAGTATATGCAAGCATCAAATGAGCTGAATCTCGATGAATACAAAAAGATACCAAACAAACACAAAGATATAAAGAAATGGCCAAGTTCGTATTTCAAAAACTAAGTTGCCATCTCCGAACAACCGGGAAACAGAAAAAGCTTAGCTTATCTGGTTATTTGCAATATTGTCCAAAGAAGTAGGCATCATCGTGAATTTTCACAATTTTTATTTTTATTTTTATCTGCTTTTAGAACCCATCTTTGATGTTCCATATACATGATAAGAACTCCCCTCTGAGCGATCAAAAAAAAACGAATCATAGTTTTCAATAGCTTTCTTGTACTATAAGAATGTTCTACTGTTCCAAGGTTTCCTATATTGCTTTTTATCTCTGGTATAAACATGAAGTTGTCTGGGATCCAGCAATTCACTCTCCTTGTATTTTTAATAAGAAAATTCACATGTTTATCCCATTATAACTGTAGATCCGATAAGTATTCCCAGGTATTTTTATTCAGAGCATGCATTTATCGTGATATTGTACTTATATTGAGCTCATTGAAGTTTGGCTCAGATGCTCTGTTTCTAGACAATGGTAAGAAGTACGTTTTTGTATAATTCATTGTCAGTAGTCTATTTTCCATCCAATCATTAATCTTATGAAGTATTTGTTTTTCAGTACAGTTTTGTCCATAATAGAATATGGATGTATCGTCGGTGTATGAGGTAATAGTACCATCAATGCGAAGATGTGCAAGTCCATTCATATATAAATTGAACAATATTGGCCCAAGAACACTTCCTTGCGGTACAAATTCTATTCTTCGCATTTCACTGATGATATTGTTAATCTTAACAGCTTGGTACCTGTCATTGAAATAACTTTCGAATAGTTTCTCCAGTGATCTGAGTAGAATAGCATGGCTGACAGTGTCAAATGCCTTCGACAGGTCAATAAAAACACACAGAGCAGGTTTAGATTTATCCAATGCACAGTACATCTGAGTGGTTAGAGAGAGAATCGCATCCCGTGTGGACGTGAAATTATGTAACGAGAATAGCCAAGAATAAAAGGATTATTCAGCATATAAATAATAATTTCGGCGGCGCAAGGTAGTTGATAGCAGACAGTCCGCTATTTATGTCGGAGATAAGTAGAGCAGTATTCAGATTTTGCGCAGCCCGGAACCCCAGACAAATCGTGACAATACGTTTGATTTCGATTTTCCATTTACCTTTTCTGTTCCATATGGACGCCTGAGAATTGGAATGCAATCGGCAATAGCCGTCGATGAGATCGGCGAGACTCTCGGCCGCATCCAGGCTGGGGCACGTGAAGAAGAGGACCTCCTGAGTGCCTGCGACCTTGAGCTGCAGAGTTGCCTTCGCGTGCTTCTCGCAATCGCTGACTAGAGTTTGGACGGCCTGGACCTGAAGATGGGCGGAATATTGTTAAGCACAAAATACGATACTTTGTACCATCAAACAATAAGTATATTCATCAGTTCTAATAACCTTGACCTCTCTCGTTTCAGTGGCGCGATGTGGTGGACTTTAAGTAATGATAGCCCTCATTCTGTCTCAAATACCGAATGATTATCTAGAATCACCATAGAAATATATAGAGAAGGGGGACAAGACATTTCATTCATAAAACAGTATTTGTTTACTACCATACATACTTCGAAAGTTTCAGATACGTTAGAATGAGGTGGCTTTAAAAACTGGCAACGCTGAAAACTGTGCGTCAATATTCACACTTTTCTTCATCAGCGATATATCTATCGAATATTCTTCATCAGCGATATATCTATGACTATTCCACTCTTGATCTCGAGAACCAATCAGAATCGACCATTTTCACGGTTTCTTCTGTATTCTAGCGATATTTTTTGTTTATTAAATTTTATCGGACTTGCTCTACCAATACAGAAGCCGAATTGACCCACACGTGACCAACAAACCTCATTTATCAGCGATAAAATTTTGACATCGTGTCTGGTCAAGATTGCTTTGGATTCAAATCTGACACAAGAGACAATAACCTATTTCATTTTATTTACTTATAATTCGCGTTAGTGAGACATTTTGTACGAAAGGTGAGACAATTTCATTCTGGCTGGACGTTTCAACGAATACAACTCGTGATACTATTTTTCCTGGAAATATTCGTCGATTGAAATACTCCAGCTTGCTGCTCTAATTTCGCTCTTGACATTGATCCAAAACTACTCGCCTACGGCTCGTAGTTTTGATAACAATGTCATTCACGAAATTACTAGGCAACAAGCTGTCGTAACAATCACCGAATATTTCCCGCAAAATATTATCACTTATGGTATTATATATGAAAATTCCACACCAGTGATTTTTATACAGTTAAATTCGGTTTTTATGACAAATTACCATAGCAACGTATGTATTTTAGTGGACCAGAGTATGAAATCGAAAAAATTTTTATGACGTTTTAATGACAGAATAATATTTTGACGTCCTAAAATAGTAATTTTGGGCCACTTCAATTGGGTAGAAATCAACAATTAATAGGCTAAGAATCCAGTGTAAGGCATTATGGAAGGGTAAAATTCGAAATCTCTGGTACTAATACCCTTCAACAAGAAGATCAAATTACTAAGGTGGACGGACATACTGACCTTCATCAGAAATCCACGGAGGTTCGAAAAGGAGAATCAGGAGAAGGTATGGTAGATATTATGTGCACATGAGGTGTGCAGCAGGGGTCGGCAAAACAGGCTCACTGGGGAATAATTTTCAAAATACTCAGGAGCTCGAAAAAATTTCCGGAAATAATTTGACCTCCAGTGGTATTACAAGTCAGAATCGCCCGTTGCTATTGATCAAACTACAAAAATGCCATGGACATGTGAAACGTGCCCTGTTCTCACCTGATCGAAGTCGGCTATCTTCTTGGTGGCACTGGCCTGAACGATGGTGTGCGAGATGCCGATATCGGGTCCGATGACTAGCTCGACAGGCACGGTGAAGCTGCTGCCGAAGTCGACGCGGAACCGCTCCTGGTCCAAGTTGGTGTGGTACTTCAACAGCTCGAGGTACTTGAACATGCTGTCCACGTCCGAGATGTGGGCGATCTTCTTGAAGTGCGCCTGCAAGCAAATACCTCATCGAAAACAGTTGGTTGAATATGGTCAAGTGGCCTCGAGTGCTGCAAATATAACTTCGTGAGTTCCTCAAGGTTCAGTTCTGGTCCCAGTGTTATCTTCGCTCTACATGAATGACATTGTCCTACATGTTAAAAAGTATACGATAAAACTCGTTGCCGACGACACTATGTTGTTTTGTTCTGGGACACCCAATGAAATCACATAATGTTTGAACTAGGACCTATCAAATATTAATGAATGGTTGTGTGATAACGGCCTGAAGCTAAACGTAAATGAGACGAAATGGATGTTGATAGGTAGTGAATAACTAATAAGACAGTTAAAAGATGACCGAGTCATTTGATGTAACAATATTAATAATAACTCTTGGAATAATGCCTATTAAAATATTATTACTACTTCAAATTGAATGAGTACAATCAATCCTATATACCATGACACAATATCTTGTGTAGAGGGTTTATATTCCTACATTTGATATCAACATTAATAATGTCAGTATTGAGAGAGTCACCACATTCAAATATTTGGGAGTGATATTGGATCAAGAACTAAGTTTTAATGCACATTGTAGTTATTTCCAGGAGAAAATAACCACTAAAAAAACTAAAAAGTAGACATGCTGTATTTACTTCTCTTGAAAAACACCTTGTATATTAGGCCCTTTCCTTTGTACAAAAAGTGTAGCACTTTTCAACACTTCATGTGAGTTATACTATATTTGAGATTTCTTTTGAAAAGTGCTTCATCCTTATTAAATTACAACATTATCTTCATTCCAGGAATATCGAGAAACTCCTACCTAATGTTGTTGGAATTCATTGCATGTTACCTCAAATTCACGTATCGATGAGAAAATTTTGAAAACTTCGACCTACATTTCTCCATTTTGAAATGATTCTGACCGATATTCTATTGATACAAATGAGCCCTCGATGTTTTCAATGAACAGACAATATTATACCTCTCGCTCACGAATTAGCTTTTGGGGTTTTTTAGGGTTTTCATCTTCCATTTTTTTACTCAACCAGCCATGGAGATTTTTTCTGTTGTTCATGTTGCACTGTTCAGTGTGAATACAAATTCTAGAGTTAGGATAACTAATAAATGATTCAGTTAAAAATAAAGGTCACTGGCTTACTGAAAATAATGCCGTTAAAGTTGATTTTGCATGTGTTAATAATTGCTGAAGATCGCTATTAGCGTGGGGTTCTGGGACACCTCGTAAAATACAATTCCGTCAAATTTATCAAGGTACTGTACCTGCAAGCACTTCCTCAACGACTTCGACTTGACTTTTTCCAGGAAACTGGCCGGTATGAATTTTTGCATGCCTATTTCTCGCTCCAGGTACTCAAAATTCGACTTCTTGTCAAGGACATTCTGAGAGATATCCTTGAAATACTTGCGGATTTCCAGGCAGCACAGCTGCAACGCCACCTCCTGGTCGATCTTCTTGTGCAGCTCGGTATGGTAATCCGTTTTGACTTGGTCATAATAATAATGGAAGGTAACTACATCTTTTTCGTAAAGCTCTTTCAGACTAGTGGGTAGGTATCTTATTCTAAGGTCGTATCGCCATTCTGAGTTCGGGTGCTTTTTCAGGTATTTTTCATTGACTTGCTGCATCGTCGTATCTTGATGTAACCAGTGCACCTAAAAAAACATACAGAACTCTTTCACAACAAGCAAAATTTGTTCTATTCATTCTGATATGATCATCAACTGCTGATGATGTTCTAGTTCGGCACAACTCGTACCGACTGCGCCATTTGTAATAATACTATAGTACAGAAATATTTTTATTTTCTAACCGACTCCATTACTCAATATATATTATAGTAGCTCAGAAAACGTGAAAACGTGGGGTTATTTTCAGTGATATACACTGATCACCAACAGCCATGGAACCACCCCCATTTCCGGAATATGATATTAGGAGTCAAAATAGGTTGAAAATCACTTTGGATTCGGAATCAGGACGCCCAATTCACTAACTATTCATAGTTTTCCTAGAAAATTTTCAGTTCTGAGGAATTGAATTTTGTCTCACTTCTCATGGAAGCACTCCCGTATCTCACGTAATTATTGAGGTGAGTTCTGAAATTTGCAGGAGGAAGGGAAAGTCCAAAGCGAGGTCCAAAGATAAAGTCAATTACGTTGATTATGTCTTAAGACTAAGATTTTTCGCCTTCACGATGTTTTAAAAAAATTTCCACATACACTTTGTTGTTAATTTGACTGAAGATGGCCACCTGAATGGCCGAAACATGTATCAAACCTTATTGAAGCAGGATTGACTGCCTCTTTCAACATTAAAATTGTGGAGACGACTTTGAGTTTTCTTTCTTGAATGAATATGTATGAAAACCGATATTTCTTGATGCGGATTTTTACTAACCTCGCTGGAATGGAGCCTCGACAATCGCATTGCGTAGAGTCCATTGTAGTACCTCTCTCCGGTTGACAGCCTGTCTGTCACAGTCTGAATGATGGCCTTTATCTCTACGGCATCCCCATATTTGACTACATTGAAGCCGCCATTCGGAAAGTGAACCTTAAAAATTAATGAATGAAAATTATAATTCACTTCAACTCATTGGACGTTTTGACTTGAACTTGTGTATAAGTCCGGATTTATGAAAGAAGAGTCATGGATATGGTTGTTTTATGAATATTTCACTATTAAAATGATAAAAATTCAGACAGTGACAATTCTCTTAATTATCAGTACAATTGGGAAGATATTGTTCCTAAATTTCAACCAGAGGTTTACAGAATTACTTTTTTGGGCATGCACTCGGGCATGCAGCTACCCAAAATTTTGTCTCGGAATATTGAATTTCGAGCATTTTTCAAATAAAAAAATGCTCTTACTTATCCATACATTTGAATGTTTTCAAATTCTCATAAATACAGCTGGCGAGATTCTTTTCCATTAGACATCACTTCACGAAAACTTGGGCAGATTTTCAAAAACAAAAAAGCCTTGATTGAATATATTGAATATAAAGAGTGTTCCATTCAAAAAAAAGATTTTTGAAGATTTCTTGATACCGTTTAATATTTTGGTATCGTACATTCATAAAAAATCACATTGGTTCGAGAGATATTGAACTTAACCCACTGTATTTTAGGTGACCCAGGAAAAAACTGCATATTTTATTTTCTTGAATACTTTATCGATTGTATTATATTATGATATAATAGGAAATATCGGGGAGTTCAGTTGATCGGGCTACACGCAAACTATTTTATTGCTATGCCAAACTTTCGAAAATTTTTATTTTCTTCTTCAAGGCTGAAACAATATATGGTATATGAAACATTTTTGTTACAATTCTAATTTATTATCTTTCGTTCATGATGATATTCAAAATGACTCTTTTTTATAAGACAATCTAATTTTATAATTTCATTTCTTCCGGTATATAAATTATATGACTTTTGTCACTGTCCTATCAATTTTATGTCTACAATCTACATCATCTATACTTTTTAGACTTCTTATTATTCCAATTTATACCTATTAACTCACATTGCAAGTAAGTTTTTGTTGAATTGAATTGTAACAAAATGTTTCATATACCATAAATTGTTTCAGCCTTGAAGAAGAAAATAAACATTTTCGAAATCTTGGCATAGCAGTAAAATAGTTTGCGTGTAGCCCGATTCACTGAACTCCTCAATATTTCCCTATTAAATCATATTTTATTTTCACTAAAATAAAAACCAAAATGTATATTTATGAATGTTTGAAAGAAGTACAAAGTTCTGTACAATGAATTTGAAATAATGTGTTGTAAAGTTTTTGCGAGAGGAACCATCCATTCAAACTACTTCGACGTCAGGAAAACAAATAAACATCATCACCATAATTATTAAAATGACAATAGGAAATTCGAAAGATAAAATTGAATAATGTTCCACTTAAAATCAACAAAGCACAGCGATAGCTTATCGCTTCAATGCCTTCAATGAAACGATTTTTAACAATGTCATTCACATTCACCGGGAAACATATTTTTATAATTCGTAATGAAGTTGATAACATCTCTTTCTGTATAATTATCTCCGATTCAAATATTTTTTACTTAAAATTTATATCGAGCGGAATATTCAACAAGGGCACTTCCGATATTCGGTAGCCTCAGCCGGAGATTTGTAACTTTGACGCCCTGTATTTCAGAATCAAAGAACTTTACGATTCTGCAAGTGCAATCAGTTCATCGAATTCCACAACATACTGAAAATTCAAAAAATTTCAGCGAAAATCATTTCACGTACTAAATGTGCAAGGTCCTTTCAGGAAAATCCGTTCATGAATGCAGAAGTTACAGGGATGGCCACATATCCGTGTCACCCGGTATACCAATATCAATAATTATTATAGTTTACCTTTAATTTATCTATCATCATCTACTCTTCATCACTTCAATATTAACAAATAAACTAATGATGTTTTTTCTGTTAACACTATTATATTGTTGTTATTATTATTATTATTATTATTATTATTATTATTATTATTATCATCAATTTCATCATTGATATCAATTTCAATCAACTTCTGAATCAAGAAGCTCCAGAAATTATTGTAGACACCTACATCCATAGTGTATGCCTCATCAATCACATTTGTACAGGGTGATTCACCATAAATGTCCCCCCCTCTAGCTCAGTTATTTTTAAACCGTTTGCAAAATTTGAAATATCATCTTGAATGATTTTCGATAAAGTTTTTTTCCGCTACATCAGAAAATACTGGGTGCTCGGAACAAACGATCTACAGGGTACTATTCTATTTTTAAATGGAACACCCTATTTTTCATTGTATCTTTAGATTCTCCCTGAAGAGCTGATTTGATCAATGCATCACACTTCGGGTCTAGCGGGAATGATTACAGAGATATAGGGTTTTCAAAATCGAGAGTTTTCAACTTTAGGAATTTTTTGTGACGAAACTATTCATTATCGGTCATAACGGCTCTCATGTCCGTATCTTAACTGTTGATTTACTATTTACTGACATTTGATGATTGGAACAGATACAGGGTGATCAGAATTCTCAACCTTGAACCACCCTGTAAATGTTTCAATTGAATGTCAGTAGACAGTAAATCAAAAGTTAAGATGGAAACATAGAAGCCGTTTCGACCAATAATGAATAGTTTTGGAAATTATTTTCAAGTTTCCAGGACAGCCCCTAGAGGGCGTAATTGCATTGGCCAGTTTAATAAACGGATTTTTATAAAAATTTGATATATCAAGACCTATCCAAAAAAACACTTTCTTCATGTTCTCGAGTTGATTTTCAATCATTTCGACCAAAAAAAAATTGCGCTAGCTCTTTAAATGAAAGAGGGAGGGAAGGATAATAGTACTTTGAAAAAACTCTCATTACTATAGTTTGGTGTAACGGAATTCAACGATCTTGGTCTCATTATGAAGGTTTTTTTGGTTCTTCCAGATGAATCACGAATCAAGTCGATTTAAATCCTGTGCTGGCCGCTAGATGGCATCATTTAAAAAATCAGACAATTTTCCATTTTTTTCGAAAATTTCAAATGGAACCATATATTCATTCTACTCTAATATGAAAGTAGAGCAAACGAGAAGAAAAATGGTGAAAACCGCGAATTGATACCTCTTGAGGAACCGGTGAAATACTCGAAATAATATTATGAAAATATTCACCACAGGAATCAAAGTTCAATAATCGTAATCAGAAATATCCTAAATCTATGAAATTATGATTTCAATAATTCATTCATTTTGGTTTCACAAACTGCTGTTATATCTCACAATAGTGAAGGAGACTCTTAGTAATGACATAGCTAATTGAAATGTAAGTAGTGAGTATAGGCTCAGGAATGAGAAAAGGCAAGTTGGCTTTGAATGAAAGGAACGTCAAAATATAATTGAAGTTCCATTGGAAGTTTTCACTGTGGATTGCTTATTTGTCAAAATGCCGATAACGAATGAGGAAGCATTTGACATGCTAACAGTTTAAATTTTAATAATATTCCGAGTATTTCTCCGGTTCATCAAGAGGTATCAACTCGCGGTTTTCACCAATTTCTTCTCATTTTCTTTACTTTCATATCATAGCAGGAAAAATATATGGTTCCATTTGAAATTCTCGAAAAAAAAAATTGAAAATCGGCTGATTTTTTAAACGATGCCATCTAGCGGCCACCACGGGATTTAAATCGACCTGATTCGTGATTTATCGGGAAGATCTGAAAGAACCCTGCATAATGAGACCAAGATCGCTTAATTCCGTTACACCAAACTGTAGTAGTAAGAGTTTTTCCAGAGTACTATTCATCCCTACCTGCCTCTTTTATTTAAAGAGCTAGCGCAATTTTTTTTTGTTCTAACATTTGTTTGTTTGTTCTAAAATTTGTTCTATCCGTCATTCGGTTGCCCCCTTACGAGCAACCCTCAAAAGTCTTCGAAAGTCTTGTGCGAGCAAGGAATGACGGGGGCCTTACCTTTTAACGTGTGATCCCAAACACTTTTGATCGAAATGATTGGAAATCAACTCGAGAACATGGAAAAAGTGTTTCTAATATGTCTTGATATATCAAATTTTCATAAAAACCCGTTTTTCAAGTTGACCAATGCAATTATGCCCTCTAGCGGCTGTCCTAGAAACTTGAAAATAATTTCCATAGTTTCCGAGATACAGCCGGCGTCCTTTCTTAGTGGTACACCCGGTATATCATTTGTTCCGAGCACCCTGTATTTTCTGATGCAACGGGAAAAAAATTCTGAAAAATCAAATTTTTAAATCGGTTCAAAAATAAGTGAGCTAGAGAGGCGGGCATTTATGGTGAATCACCCTGTACGTGTTGATTAATATTTCATGAAATGCCCATGTTCAAGGTTTACCTTTTTTTGAGTGTGATGTTTTTATTTGTCTCACATACACATGTATTGAAATTAGGAATATTCAATAAATACTGTCTAGAGATGTTAAAACGTTGTATGTTAATGACAAATAAATGATTGATTGATTGATACCTTGACAGTGGATCTGTCACCGGTGGCAGGACTACTCTGCGGTGACTTTTTCGGACTCTCCATGTTGTTTCTGGTGGGGGCACACCTCACGGGTGAGCCCTGACTTAGGGAGGGTGCCGAAGATACATCACTGAAACAAAGAAAAAAAGTGTTCAGAAAAATATTGGATTTTGGGAAAAGAAGTGTTGCTTTCGTCGAGCAGTTTATATTATACATTATGCAACAGGAAAGTAAATTGAGCTCCTGGGGATTAAAATCTACCAGGTTTTTATATTGAAGACCCACATGTTTTAGCAGCTGCTCGATACTTGTTCTGCAGATGTAAATACAAAAGTTTGTGTATAAAAGCGTTTTTTTTTCTTATAAACATGGTTATCACGAAGTATCCTTTGTGTCTATAATTAGCCATTAATACATGAACATAATTATTATTAATACGTAAAATATGTCATATTTCTAATCTTTGTTATTTGAATAAAATTATCTGGCTTAACTTCACCTGCATCATCTACAGTCGCAAATAAGGAGAACGTTTATAGATGGTGATTCATTAAGAAGAAATCTGAACCATCTGAACTACAGATACTGAACAATAAAATATTAAGATTTAGCTCAACATGCCTGGTAATAATGTTAATGGTTCGGGAGATACCGGGTGTTCTTGGTGAAGATTTCATTTTGAAATTTTTCAAGCATCATGAACATTGAATTTTGTAGTTCCAGGTTATCTGACATGAGAAATACGAATTCACAACTTATTTATTTATTTCAAAGTGAATGTTCGACCAAATTTAAGGAACAATTTGAATTAAAATTTTCGCATGAATACCTTGTATCTGTAACATTTATATAAGGCATGTTGGGATAAATCTCTTCATATTTTGGTGTTTACTATATGAAGTTCAGAGATTTTCATTCTTAATGAATCACCCTGTATATCTGAACAAGTAATGTGACAAAAACCGCTACTAAGCGACCAATGGTTCCTTAGTGGGACCCAATTAATGTTTTTTTCAGTACTTTAGAAACAATAGTGAGGTATATATTGAAAGTTACTAATATAGTGAGGTATAGGTATTTTGAAAGTTACTAATAGTGGGGTATATGTTGAAAGTTACTAATACAACAAAATAGTTATTTAACCAACTAGTGTATTAATGGGGGCGATTAATGATCGAGATATTTAATCGCCTTTTAATATACAAGTTGGTTACAAAATTTTTCCGTCGACTATATTTCTCATTTCTCCTGCAATAAAGGAAACTTGGTTCGCGAATTCATCATCCATCCGGAAACTGCTAAGAATCACCCAGTAGCCTTGTTACTGACATTAGTGACATTTGACATTTGTCGAAATGATCAACATAGGAAATAAATTCCTTGTGTTAGAAAACAGGGATTAAAATCGTGTCAGAAACTTGGAAAGGCTAACCCGTTAACGGAAAATCGTCGATGAAATCCATATTCCGATTTAAATGCAGATTCCGTAAGTTATAGCATAAACAATGAATGCACGCGGTGTATGTTCGGTTGCCTATAAAACAATCGTGCATTAATAGACAAATCGTTTATTGATAGGGGTCATTAATGAACGATTTCATATACATTAAACTTAGTCGTTAATACGAGATCCACGGAAAATATTATAACTCAATGATTTCCTTCGTTACTCGTACATCGAATAAAATGGGGCTCTGGGTTAACTTGTTTGAATGTTATTTTTCCAGGACAGCTTGCTCTATTTTCAGTGTCTCTCATAATAAACAATAATTATGTTACCATTGTCGATCTAAATGAAAACTTAGTAGGCGACCTAGTGCAAGGAGGTATAATATTTATAGTTGTACATACAGTTATCAAAATTGCAAATGGAAACAGGAAATTTTCGTGGATTTTATGTCAAAAATTGATATGATGATAATATATGATGTAATGATATGTTCCTCCTTCTTGAATAAGTCTTTAAGGCTTTTCGAGTGATGAATTAGTTAAACCAAGTAGTCGTAAATTATCACTAGAGCGGTAAAGTGAAAAAATATATATTCAAATTTTATTTTTACTCAAAAAAATAAATGAGAACCAATTTATCATGAATATAGCAGGTACTAAAGTTTCGTTTGCTACATTCGCCGCAATTTCTATATATCGGAATTAAAACTTTCCTGATCCGAATTCATGCCGATGAATTTTTTTTCGTATTGAAATTAACGCGTCAAAGTTGACAGTTCGCCGAATGAGTGACAACCGAGGACACAATAGATTCACGACAAGCATACGCCTAACCCTTGCAACGCTTGCTTGTTACATATTCCTAATGAATCGTCAGTTCAAGGATTATTGAATATTTTTGATAAAATAATTAGCTTTTTGGTAGTATTGTACTATATTCGTATCGTAAATATCTATTTCCGTCGACCTCCTATTAACGAGTAAGTTTAATGTTTATGAAATCGTTTATTAATGACCCCTATTAATGATCAATTTGTCTATTAATGCACGATTGTTTTATAGGCAACCAAACATACACCGCATGCATTTATTGTTTATTTAAATCGAAAATATGGATTTCATCGAGGATTTCATCGAAGATTTTCCGTTAACAGGTTCGCCTTTCCAAGTTTCTGAAACGATTTTAATCCCTGTTTTCTTACACAAAGAATTGATATTCTATGTTGATCCAAGTTGATCATTTCGACAAATGTCAAATGTCACTAATGTCAGTAACAAGGCTATACTGGGCGATTCTTACTAGTTTCCAGATGAATGATGAATTCGCGAACCTAGTTTTCTTCTTTGCAGGAGAAATGAGAAATGTAATCGACGGAAAAATTTTGTAACCAATATACGAGTTATTAAAAGGCGATTAAAGATCTCGAACATTAACGCGCTCGCTTCGCTCGCACGTTGAAATATCTCGATCATTAATTGCCCTCATTAATACACTAGTTGGTTAAATAACTATTACAATATTGTCCAAAATATTATGTTTAGATCATTGATTGAATCAACGTAACTGTGGTTACTCTACTGGTCTATTTGAAATAGGAGTAGAGTCAATTAATGTCATCTCAGATAACTTATTTTGGGTTCGATCAAATCATTTTGCATCTCAGGAATATCAAGAGAATTATAATACCTACCTTTTTCTTCAGTTTTGAGAATGTTTTCTCCATGCACAAAATTTTTTCATAACAAACAATTTCAAGAAATTTTCCGTTAGGTCAGTAGTTAGTTTTAATCTTCTCCTGAAGATGCTAACATACTTAGCGAAACACGTGTAGAGGCGTGAAAAAAATCGGTTTGGTAAGTGGTAAAACAGTGTGTAATGTATTATCGTGCCAAAGGTTCAAATATTCGATATAGCAACTTGCCACTTGCCGGTGTTTATAGACAATTCAACAGCTGAAAAATTCTCGTTGGCCTAAACTTTTACTATGGTAGGTAGGTCACTGCATACATACATACATTCATGCAAATCAGAAAAACAACGCAACAAGACCCAAGTCGACGACTCAATCCTTCATTATTATCATTATCTCTCTTGATATACGTTCATAATAGGTAACCACCTGGCTTTTCATCGAACGTGGAAGAATGATGTAACGCAATACGCACTCCTACGTTTTTCACGCCACAACGTCTGGGTTGGCAATGCGAAGTCAGCAACAAGTGGATAAACACAGCCCGGTCACACCAGAAATTTTACATCGAAATGTCCAAGTCAGTGCCGGATTTATACTCCCTTACGCCGGCCACCGCACCGCCGCCAAATATTGAATTCCAATTGTCAGTTTCAAAATTCAAATAATCCTTTCACTGCTTTTTTACAGCATATAACAATAACATGAAATCATCATGTACAACGAATCAAATTATATTTACTTCACACGTTAAACATAACAACAAACAACAATTTTTTTTTTCAGATGAATACTAAAATACTTTTCCTCATTTTTTCGATGCAAAGTCGTCAATGGAATCGTCAAAATTCAGATTAAATAACATGTCACTGTTAATACTTAAAATGGATAAGCTATTCAATGTAGTCTCTACCAAGGGATTCCTAAGGTAGTTTTTCACTCTTTTTAAAGTTGAGAATGGCCTTTCACCACTGGCATTACTAATCATCAGGGATAGGAAAATTCTAAAAGCTACTTCCACGTTGCAAAAAGTATCTGTGATCTTGTATTTGTGCGAAAGCGCCATCAACGATCTTGAATTGAATATTTCATAACTTTTGTTTTCGGCAATAGAATTCAAGTCAATCAAAACATACGTGCTTTATCTATGATGACATCATCTGGCAGAAATGCAATTGAGAACAAACATGCGAATGTAGAAGAGAGATCATTGTAGGCTTCAGCACGAATATTTACTTCACCCACCAAATGGTCGACTGCTTTGAGGAATACCTGGGTTCGCATTCTGGTCTGTGGTGTCAATAAAGCTTCAGTGTCAGCTTCTTCAAGAGCCAGTTTCCTCTTACGGGTTCTGACCTCCTTATAGTTAAGTTCTTTCGAGAGTAATTGGGCCTCTTTTTCGTAAAAATGAAACTTTGCCCGCAAACATTCATAATACTTTCTCAATGAAATATATAAACTGAGACACGTATCCAGGCCTATGCTTGAGTTTTGCAGGGACTTGCTGACTTGATCTGCTCTCTTCAGGAAACAACCAGCGTTGTTTTGCCATAGGTAAATACTATATCTAGAAAATATTTTTTCAGATGAATATTAATCAACTTACTTTCATTATTTTGTTTTCTACTTCTTTTTAGTTTGACTATCCATAGAATCGTGTTTCATTAATTTTTCAAACTACTATTTATTTTCTACTTCTTTTTAGTTCGACAATCTATCTCTTCTGTTTTTACTATCAATTTTCTCCTTCTTTTCAGTTTGGGCTCGAGTTTGTCTATCTATTAAGGCGTGATGTATTATTATAGTTTTTCATACAACTATTTATTACAAAGTTCGTTGGCAATATTGGATCCGCCATCTTGAATTTCTAAATTTTGATGAGAGAATCATAATCTGCGACCCCAAAATCCCCCAGATACAAATTTTGAATGGAATCGGTCCATGATTACAAAACTCGTCCGCCATATTGGATCAGCCATCTTGAATTTTC